AAATCAGATGAACCACATGAGGCTCTTTATACATAGCACATCGATCGGCACCGCCCAGCACAGTCCCCTCCTCCCTCCATTTCTCGCCGGGCTACGCACCTGTATGGTGTGAGAATGTTCAGAGGGGGTGGTTTGTCGCTCTGGTTGTAAATGTCAGCCACGGGATTGGGGATGCTGTTCTTTGATACCACCTGCTGGTCTTGCACTGTGGAGCTTTTGAAGGCTTTCTTCATGTTGATATCCTGCAGCGACACTATGTAGAGAAAGCACATGGTGAGTTGCATGGAAATATTTTCAACTGTTTAGGAGTAAGGATAATTTGACTTACAATTGTAAGCATCTAGCATAACTAAATACTGTTTTAATCATTCCTTTTAAAACTATACTGAATAACATTCCTTCCCTGTTATAAATAGCAGCTATCTCTATGAAACCCAAAACCAAACCAAACCAACTGCAGTCAAGTTGATTCAGACTCACAGCACTCCTAGAGGACAGAGTGGAACTGCCCCAGAGGGTTTCCCAGGCTGTCAATCTTTACAGAAGCAAAGCCCAAACCACACCCACTGCCATGGAGTCAGCGCCCCTAGAGGACAGAGTGGAAGTGGCCCACAGGGTCTCCAAGGCTGTAGTCTTTACAGGAAGCAGATTGCCTCATCTTTCTCTCAGGAGCAGCTAGTGGCTTCCAACTACCAACCTTTCAGTTAGTAGCCAAATGTTTTAACCACTGCACCATCAGAGATCCATATCTCTCTGAAAGACAGTCAAAATCCTATCTTTTCTTCTTTTATGAGGATCTAATTACTTTATTGAACCTATACTACAGAACCATTCTTTATGTAAATATCACTTCTTAGAAACCAGATAGGGGTGTAGTTAGGACTCTGATAGGCATGAATACATAGATTTGGCTGTCATACTAAAGGAAACTATTCAAAGAATTAATGTCAGTTTTATTATAATACATGTGGGGAAGATTTCTGCCAAAAATACACAAATATAAATAATGCATTACATTTTCCTGATCCTAACATTCCTATAAAACCAAAAACCAAACCCACTGCTATCAAGTCAATTCCAATTAATAGCGACCCTATAGGACAGAGTAGAATGGCCCCATAAGGCTTCCAAGGCTGTCAATCTTTATGGAAGCAAAGCCCAAACCACACCCACTGCCGAGGAGTCGATTCTGACTCACAGCGCCCCTATAGGACAGAGTGGAACTGCACCAGAGGGTTTTCAAGGCTGTCAATCTTCACAGAAGCAAAGCCCAAACCAAACCCACTGCCGTGGAGTTGATTCTGACTCACAGCCCCCCTAGAGGACAGAGTGGAACTGCCCCACAGGGTTTCCAAGGCTGTCAATCTTTACTGAAGCTGACTGACTCATCTTTCTCCCACGGAGCAGATGGTGGATTTGAACCACCAACCTTTCAGTTAGCAGACCAATGTTTGAACCACTGTGCCACCAGAGCTCCTTAACAGTTCCAGAAATTCAACAGCACGATCTGTTACACAACCACACCAAGGAGTCAGCTATCAGGACTGGGCACAGTCATTTCTGTCATTGGTTCAACACTTCACATTTCACTTACTAACTGACTGGATTTATAACAAACTTTGGCAAGTGATACTATTAGCCCACTTTGGTCAATGAAGGTGAGACATAGGGCTACTAAGTGACCTTTCCAGAACCATCCAGCAAAAAAATTAATAGATAAAACAGCAGACTCAACCCGATGTCCTAACATCTAGTCACGTGCTTCTTATACTAGCACATCCATGCCAAGGGAAGTTACAGGGCAGAATCCTGACCAGGAAAGGGCAGTATGGAGTTGAGATTTACTGTAGAAGTTCATAAAAATTAACCTACAGGTAAACCTTTGCCAGTGCAAGGTGCTCCACAGGCCTTCCAACTCAAGAACCAACAGAAAAATTGAAGGAAGAGGAATATTTAAAAACTCACTGGGATACCAATTTGAAAAGTGAACAATTAAGACGTTAAGAGTTCCTTTTCTGAAGAGAGCAAGTGGTGATTTCAATTTATATATATTTAAAATAAGTCATCAATTTTAAAAATCAGATTAAAATGTCTCGAACTTCTACTTTTTGCTAGAAAAGTCGGCAAGAATGTTCAGAATGGATACTGCACCTTCCGTCTGCATTTGTGGGAAATTTCTAATTCACTAGCTTCATTCTGACCTCTGAAGAAAGATCTGAACAATGAGCAAACATCTTTTTGAAATGAAAAGGAATGAATTCCACGAATAACTACTGTTTAAAGAATAAATCTTCTATTTTTCACCAGTAACACTACGGAAGGGTAGCGGAAAACTCAGATGTTAGGGTCTTTTTAAAATAAGGGAAATTATAACTACCGTTGTATGTAAAGATAAAAATAATTTATAACATGAGTATATTTCTTCAACTAAATGTGAAGTGGTATATCTTATATATTTTTAATGGATTTTTTTTTCAGCTTAATTGCACTCTTTCATTCAAAAGACACCAAAAATTAAAATTTTAGAAAGCAATTGTTGATCATTTGTAGGTTTGTGAAATCAATGGCTACCATTTCAGGGTGTATGTATAAAATGACTATTAGTTAGGGCACAATGTCGGTGAGTATTGAGTAGTAACATTATTTAGAAACTCTAGTGACTCGACAGCAGTGAGTTAACACCTGAAGACCTTTAGAAAATGCTATTCCTGCCAAGTTTCATAAAACATGTAAAACAGCAGGATCACCTGGATTATTTACAGGGTTATTAACCACACGAAGTGGAGGGTCAGAGAAAAAGGGGCAGACCCTCAGTGAAATGGACCAATAGAGACAGTGGGTGCAGCATAGACACAGATGGGCTCCAGCACAGCAGGGCTTGTGAGGAGGCGCAGGACCTGGCAGTGTTGAGCTCTATTATGCACAGGGTCACTATGAGCTGGAACTGACTCAAGACACCAACCACCACCACCAGCACCATCCGAGAGCACTGAGGGAAAGCCCTCACTGTAGCTAGGACAACCTCCCTGGGAATCAGACCACACCTGTGACGTCATTCTGAAATTTTTCAGTAAAAATGAGTTTCAACGTCACTACCAGTGACTGGAATTAGGATTTCTGGCACTGAACGCATCTGAAGAAGCCT